AAACTCTTAAAACCTCTTAAAACCCCTTATAAACTCTTAAAAACCCTAATAAACTCTTAAAACCCCTTATAAACTCTTAAAACCTCTTAAAAACCCTAATAAACTCTTAAAAACCCTTATAAACACTTATAAACGTTTTAAAACCCTTATAAAGTTAGACATTTTTAAAGTGATCTAACTCGTAGTGCATCTGATCGGTCATTTAAAACTGTTGGGGGTTCAGTTCGGTTGTGAGGTGTTGGTCCAAAACTATGATTATATTTTCTGCCTTGTTTGAGCAGACTGAGATGTTGTTTGGTTTATTACTGTAAAAAGACCAGCCGGAACATAGACCTATGAGCTATAGATTGCTGTCAATTAAAGACCGTGTCGAACGTTTGACCTTGATTTAGAGGCTGGGGTGATGAAAAGTGTGTCGCACTCAGTCTAGTGACGATGCAAACGTGTACCAAGTTTTGTTTAATTATCTTGAGCGGATAAGAACTTACGGCCCAGACAGCAAAGATTGTGACCTTATTCTGACCTTGATTTGTGACCTCGATTCTGGGGTGATATAAAATGTACGTGACCCTTTGTATAAATGACGAGTATGCATTTAAAGCTTCATTAAATTACTCAAGTTGATCAGAAGTTATGACCCAGACAGCAGACCTTGACCTTTACTTTGACCTTTGTTTGTGACCTTGAACCCAGGCTGATATAAATATGTGACCCGTTGTATATTGATGTGCATGTGTTTAAAGTTTCATTCAATTATCATGATTGGATCAGAATTTATGACCCAGACAGCAGAAACCTTGACCTTCATTTGTGACCTTTACCATAGAGCTAAGGCAATGAAAATGTTATGTTGCACTCCGACTTGTGATAATGCATATGTGCATGTAGTTTTGTTAAATTATTTGGAGCAGATCAGACATTATGAGCAGGAAACGTGTGACCTTGTATTAACTTTGACCTTGATTTGTGACCTTGAATCCCCAGTAGTAAAAAAATCATGTGATCCTTTGTATATCTATCAGTATGTGTTTAAAGCCTCATTAAATTATCTCGAGTTGATCTGAAGGGATGACCTGGACAGTAGAAACATTGACCTTAACTTTGACCTTTACTTGTGACCTTGACCATAAAGGTGGGGCAATTAAATAATTATGTGGCACTCTAACTAGTGATGATGCATATGTGCACAGTTTTGTTAAATTATTTGGAGCGGATCAGATGTTATGGACAGGAAAAGCTCGTTTTAACTTTGACCTTGATTTATGACCTTGGAGCTGAGGTGATTAGTGTATGCGAGACACTGTGTTGCGACGATGCGCATGTTCATCATATGTAAATTATCTGAAGCTGATCAGAAGTTATGGGTGGGTCGGACGGAGACCACCCGTGTGACAAAAGGTGCTCGTCGAGTTCGCTGGTTCTGAACTCGTTCCACTTTCAGCTGGCGAGCTCTAAAGACAAAACTGTTTCATTGGCTGCCGGAGGAGATCCGTTTGAACGGGTTAAAGTTTCAGGCTGTTGACGGTGACTCCAGGTGACCCGTGTGCACTGCGCCTGAGGCTCGTCGTCCTCCGGGGCGTCGAAGGAGATGCCTGCAAAAAAACAGTTTCACGATGATTATATGGAGGCGTTGAAGGTCAAAGAAATCCATTTACTAAAATTCACTGATGAACCGGTTTTAACATCTAACCAGACATTTCAGATCTGTAAAATAGAAAGTTAGATCCTTAACGTCATCATTTAAGGTCCGTCGGAGTTTTGATGCCACAGCTATTAAAATATGGTTGTAACCAACGTGCGGACAGGATTAAAGGTTTAACACGGGGGGAGGACCAACCTGCATGTTTTACCTGTTGTCCTGGTTCAATGGTTGGGTCTCGTCTTAAAGTTACGGAGAAGCCCGTTGACCACCCAACCTTTTTTCATACGTTTTGACAGTTAAGGCAACTATCAGGACCGCATGAATACGTCTTGCATTTCATTATTCGCCCGTCAATAAAATACTGCACAATGGTCCGGACAGGCTTTGACCTTGTATAACCTTTGACCTTGTAGCTGGGGTGGTAAAGTATACCAGTGATGTGTGTATGAAGTTTCATTAAATCGTCTTGAACGGATCAGAAGTTATGCGCCGGGCGAGAAAAGTTTACGTACGGAGAGAGAATTTACCGGAATATGTCCGCCTTGCGTTTTAAACGCCCGATGCAACAAAGCTCTTCTTCTTCGAAGCGGTTCTTCAGTTTTTCGCTCGTTCTTGGTGCTAGCCGGACTCGTTTAGGTCAGGATGTTAGACGGCCAATTCGGAAGAGAGACGAGTCCGTCTTTAGGCTTCTTCCAGCCCTTTCATAAATCTCAGAAATCGAAGCCGAACAAACAAAAAGACGTGGAACAGAACTCTACTGGGCTCAAACGGAGCGTGACGCATTAAATGCGTGTCGGACGTTTTCCTCTCGTCAGTCACTGAACAAAATTAATTAAGTTCAAAGATCCTGTTTGTGGTTTACTATTTATTTTAAACTAACTACAAAGTTTTTGGTGCATGATCATGAATATTTACTTGGTAATAATCTGTTAGTTGTGTTAGAGTGGGCGGTTCATCACATTACTGAGCTGCAGCTCCGAGGGTCTTTCCCCCTCACACGTTGGTCAGAGCAGCTGCCTCAGTGGGTCTTCCGAATGGACCGAGGTGACCAGAACACGTACGTCCTGGACTGAGGCGTCTTGTGAACGAGGCGACTACCACTGAAATGTCGTGGAAAGTTCAGTTCCCAGATTTTTGCTCGTGTGGTTTGTATGACTTTTTCCTCGCCGTCACGTAACCACCATCTGAACCCTTCCAACTTTTACAAAACCT